AAAATCAGTTGTTTGCAGTTTCAAACCGCTGCCGGCGAAGCGGGTGTGATACAGATTTATAGTGCACCGGACATTTTCGCACGCATGCTCGACCGTACGCAATGCTATCATCAGTGATTTCGTAAACATGGACGCTCGTGATAAGGAACTTTTTGTCAGGGCTGTCCATGTGCGTCCATGATTAGTACATGTGTTTTACTCTATTTCTATGTTTAGTCCGTGGTCGTGGTTACACCGCTGACGCCTCATCTGGCGTCCAAAACATACGGGCCGCACAAATGTTTACGTCATCGCTTGACTCCTGGATGACATTTACGGCACGTAAATGATACGTTGATACATATCAACAACCGATTTCAAGTCTTGTTTGTAATGTAACCAGCAGTGATATTGGACAAACTAATACGCGTTTGGCTATAAGATAATGTACTTATTAACTATACACAAGGTGCCAGTTACTCTAGCATTCGTCAACATTGCATAATCAATGGCCATATTATTCCTTTAACTACACAAGGTGCCAGTTACTCTAGCATTCGTCAACATTGCATAATCAATGGACCTATTATTCCTTCATATACTTTATATTCCTCCTATTATACTTTCAGAGTAATGGTCCGGCCTGGTCGCCGACTACGCCCTCCTGCTACTACGATCGGACAGCGCGGGTCACGCGATCCATCCCCAAAACAGCTGACTGCGCGCTGACTGGTCCGTCGCTGTCAGATCAGCAGCTTCCAGAAGAAAACCACCCGGCTCGATTGCCTTTGCATCTGTCTAGTTGTAAATTATTTACAAGCTCATCGTAAATACGCCGTTCCAGTTACACATGTAATACGCAGCCACGCACGGGGGAGGGAAGCTGTGCTGGGCGGATTGACGACTCGCAAATAGAACGCCTTCAACGGCGGCGAAAAACGCGTGTATGTGTTTATTTTAAGCTAAACTAAGGATTAGTTTAAACCAGCATGCAGAGCTTGAAATTATTTACGTTTTAATCTGTGTATGGTACACATCTCATCTTATATTACGGTTTCAGTTGGGGTTAGTCACACATCGCAAATATCCAACGAGGCAGCGTTGAACGTGTTCAGTCGGTTGAGGCCAAGAAGAGACCAATCAAGAACTGACCAAAGGTATAGGTCACCGACTCACCATAGACTCTCTTTTGTTTCTACAGATTTAGGTGACATTAATAACGATACGTCTTTGTGGTATTGACGAAATCCCGCTGTCCATTGTGGTGAGATTTCGGGATCCTGTGACTTGGCTTACCAAAGACATCCGGACTGCTTGCCTACCCACATGACGTCATGATGCGATGATGATCGATGCCACGCCGTTTAATCAACCACTTTCATTTTTAATGAGCCTTTACCGACATCGCAGTAAGCACTAAGCAGCATGCCGACAGTAGAAATCCCCTGCGCACACGTATACATCGTGCATCCAGTCTGATGCAATGCACGCAACTAGTTTTAACTATGTACGCAAGAGACGCGGCCACCACTCCACAGCACCCTAATACGTGTTCATCTCCCCGACGTGTCATTTCTCCCGGCACCATCCTATTCGAACTCAGCCGACGGCACGCTACACAAGAGTTCGCACTCGCAGCGTTTCGACACAGCGATGAACGAACAATTTGTAGCTGATGTAAAACAATCGTTACTGTTCGTCGCTTAAAGGGGCGGTCAGCTAACAGACGAGCTCTCTACAAGCAGCGCATGAGTCACGCAATTCAAACGAACAGGAAAACGCCGGCTATCAACGGCATTACTTCAAGTTTGGGTAGGAAACAGAAACATACATTTGGAAAAGGTTCCTATGCACGGATAGCGCTAATATGTAGATAGTTTTTCCAGGCGTGCATCACATAGAGACCTCTGTGTTATGCTTTCCTGATTTCTCTATAGAACGTGTACGCGCATCTTCCCCACCCAGCCATAACGTCATTCGCGTAGGGATGTCAGCCCCTCCACCTCAACGGGTCTTCGCGCGTACAAGCATTAGCCACACATGATACTCGGGAGTATGCAAAATGTATGTACACACGCTCTAGCACAAGTGCACAACACATGCTCTGGTTGTCTAGCACGATGTATCGCGCGCGAGTATCATTTCTGCACGGCTGACACATATAACCATGAATAAGCTAGCTAGCTGCGCATTCACTCATCATTCAGCACACATGAAGTATGCTCATGCACATGCTTCGATCCGAAACGTCCCAGGCGGCCGGCACAAACCGCCCGGACAGTTTATTAGCGGTTGAAGCATTTACATGTAATTTATGACATTTAATGTCCGCTAAGCAGTCACTGTAAGTAACATTCTGGGGCTGGGGCCCGTTGTCAGAAACAAAATTAGTCTAATATGAGTAAATTAGCGTAATAACGCAATATCAGCTCGTAATATTTTGCGTAATGGGATTCATCAGCAAATCTACGAGCGATTCTATGATGGATAAAATTTTACCAACAGATGTATTATCAGATTTACCAGCGGTTTTACTAATTAATGCGTTTGGGATTTGTAGATTACCGTTTAGATATACCAGCACAAACACATTTACCATATTTACCAGCCCATTTACCAGAATTAATTACCAGCACATTTACATGATTTACCAGCACATGCATTAACCAGATTTACCAGCACATTTACCAGATTTACCAGCACATTTACCAGATTTATCAGAACATTTACCAGATTTACCAGCACATTAACCAGAATATCAAGAGTATATAATGGGAGTTCTCCCATATATACTCTTCGTTTCTATAATGTACGTCGATGGTTGCTCAATTAAAACTGACTTCTTCTCACTTTTTGTCCTTTTTTTGTGGTGAGCTACAGTGTCATTGACACTTTCATTCTCTTCGCTACGTGTCACACGGTTTACGAGTGCGTCACACTCTCCGTCACGTTCGTCACCACATCGGCCATGTTGCAGATGACGGCTCCAACTTGGCGTGGTGGGTGCCGATGCCGCGCTATGGCACGATGGAGCATGAAGACGGCAGCCAGCAAGACGCAGGGACGACGAACAGCAACGTGGCCGCCTCTTCATCATCGACAGGTAACGCTTAGGGTTGCAGAAGGGTCGGTAAATCTCAGGGGGAATGTTAGGAAACTGTCTGCGGAAAGTTCTTGGAATCTTCAATGGTCGAGAATTTGGGCGAATTTTTTTTTTGGGGGGGGGGAATTTTTATTTTATCTCATGGAATAATATCTCGCACGTATTTGTGCAGTCACTCTCGTGGCAGGAGCATCACAAGACGTGTGTAATCGGTTCCAGATTTGTTTTTAGCATATTTTATCGTTGTTTGCAGACAGTAATTAATTAAAATTTATCCCGTTGTTTTTCTATCGTAGGGAGCAACTCAGGGTTCATGTTGTCGTTAAGGCCGCGTCTCGGTGACCTTGACGACGAGTGTGACTGACCTTCAAACGTTCCAGATATATTTCACTGCCAGTGGGACGATAGCTGGCACAGGTTCTATCTATAGGCGACTGGAGATATTTTGTGTTGACTACGAAGGTAGGATTGTTTTAGTATACAAGAGCTTGCAGATCGCACAGTCGCGAAGCGAGGTGTGTACAGCGGGGCTCAGACACTCTCGTTACATTGTCTCTCATAAAGATATATGTGGAAGCTCATTCTAGGCAGATTACTTTACTTACGTGTCGGATTGGCTGCCCTATATAGAGGCTGGATGTGGCAAATCTGATATTCACAACTTGACGGTGAGGTACCGTCACTGTTTTTTCGATGAGAGTGGCTTCTTTTGTTACTTGGCTTCTTTGCGTAAATGTTTAAAAAAAAAATCCACTAACTCGTCTGCTGTAGTGAACAGAAAAGAACATGTTTATGTTGTAAAAACAGCTTAGGCTGGAGTTTGCTTCATGGGAAAACCTAGATTGTTATTCCATCTGGTTGTCTTGTAAATGATCTTATGCTGTACACGTATACGCAACGAGGTATATTAGTTTAGAAAATTACCAGGTCACTATGTTTCAGTTGCTACTCACAAGTTCTCTTTCCTACAGTGATGACGTAATACAAGATTTCCTTACATTAAAAATTAAACTGAATGGAATAATATCGTGATAATATGTATATGTACTCATCAAATTTTCATTAGATTATCTGTAAATTTACTTGCATGGAATTCTTCCATTGAATTGCATGTTGTGAATTCCTTTCAGTTCCACAATCGAGACACACGTAGTGGTTTTATGCTGTGAAATTCGTGTTGTACCAACGTCCTAGCTACGTGCGTACATGCTGTAGTAGTTGAAACAAGCCGTGAGTGAGTCCACTGCAACGTTTACTAAACTGCACGTTTGTTAATCTCTCCGTACACTAATAGCGAGCATACCAGTATAAGAGATGAACAAACACGGGGAGTATGTGTTGAGTTTCCAAACGTGAACCTAAGTAATGCAGCCAGGACATGCTGAGAGGGTCTATGTCCCCTAGGGTGCTATCGGAGTGTACCCTGGGTACGGTTCGAAATATCGGCACGTACTCTGGTACTATCTAATATGCCGGACCGTACCTCGCCTACTCCACTAACGAGTCTAGGGAGTCGCCTACGCCTACTCCCTAACCCTAACCATATCAATATCAAGAGTATATAATGGGAGTTCTCCCATATATACTCTTCGTTTCTATAATGTACGTCGATGGTTGCTCAATTAAAACTGACTTCTTCTCACTCACTCATTCATTTGTGTCCTTTTTTGTGGTGAGCTACGGTGTCATTGACAATTTCATTTATTGTTACCGAAAATCTTTTCCTCTTGCGATTCTGTTTAGCGAGATTTAAGAAAAATTCTGGGTGCTTATAGCCATGACACACCTATACTGCTGTCACCACGTCTCTTGTGGGTCTGTTCGATTTCTTCAACAAGAATGTGTGCCGCATCGCCGGAGCCCTAACAATCGTATGTTTTTGCGGAGAATAACTGCATTCTCCCTTGAACTTGTATAGTTACTCAATCAGCTAGATGGAGCAGGCCCTCCGCCTGCACCTGAACACACTATTGACAAGTTGCCTAGAGTCAACATCACTCCAGACCAAGTCGGTAGGTTTATTAATAGTCAACCGTCTGCATTTTGTATCCTCTCGTATCTGTGATGAATGCTCTTGATTTTGACGATGCTAGGTAGATTGCACTACCTTTCGGGATGTTAAAACATCTACGTGGGCGTCTACTCCTGCGAGTGACATTGGGAATGTATAGTTATGTATGATAACCATGGTGCGATCCTATAGCCTTACCAGTGTCGTTATAAAAGCAAGACACGGTGTAACACTAGGTCAGAGTTGGATGTCCAAATAGTTGTCACAAGTGCATAGGTTGCTATGAAAGCGTGGAAGTCGGACATGTATTAATTATTATATTATTGAAATTGATGCCAGTTTTTAGCTCACCTTGACATCGTCAAGCTGAGCTATTGCCATGGGTCGTCGTCCGTCCGTCCGTCCGTCTGTCCGTCTGTCAACATTTGGCTACGGTCAACGATAACTCAGGAACCGTTTGACCCACATGTTTGAAATTGGGTATAGTTGTTACTGCTATGCTCCCATATTAAACGTCCTATTTTGAAGCACGCCAGTCAACGTACTTTCGAGCCACGGCAATTTTTTGGCAAAAATGGGAATTGCCATTAGTCAGTTCAGGACTTCAGGTTCAACGGATTTTGCTCATTTTGGGTATGTGAATGAATAAGGGCCAGGGGTTTTGATATTTAAAAAAAAAATTATGCAAATTAGGTAGGGTTTGGCAATTATATAGCATATTATATAAACACGCAGATAACAAACAGTGTGGCATCACACTCGTCTGGTTCGTTTTACAAGATTTCATTGACAATATCTTTAATGCAAAATTGGTATTTCCTCTCCACCTTGCCGATAAAACGTCTATACTAGAGTAAAGTTTTACAAAACATGTCGGAACGCAGCATAACCTATTTATTTCAAACGCCATCGCTACAAAGCGGCTATAGCGCCATCTACGGTCACAAATTGCGATTCATTTTGGTTTATAAATTATTATTGCGATATACAGATGTCAATCGTTTCTATAATTTACGTCGATGGTTGCTCAATTAGAACTGACTTCTTCTTACTCATTCATTTGTGTCCTTTTTTGTGGTGAGCTACAGTGTCATTGACACTTTCATTTAGTGTAGGTGTTATGTATTGTCTGTCACTTGTTTAATTATTTTGAATAGTATGAAAAATAACATATAACTACTTGGGCATGGTGAAAGTAATGTTGATGTTTAGAAAACGGTGTGGGCGAAACACAGTGCCATTCACTGGAGTGCTTATACTGTTGTCTTAGTAGATGGCAGAGAAAAAATATAATTAGTCATTCTAAGTGACACTAGCTTCATGGGAGGAGCTCACTGCTAAGTAACCACGAACCTATTAGTGTACTGCATTTCGCAAACCTGTTTTTTTCGCGTAGGAAAAACAGGCAAATCGTTGCTCGACGACCTTCGCTTTTGACCTTTCAGCACAATCAGTGTTCTGCGTACCTCTGCGTGAATCCTCGTAACTGGATATCCCGCAAATTGCGCCTCGGCGTGACGTTTTCGATTTGAGCGGCTGCTCGGCTCTGCAATATAAGCGTCCTCGTTGCGTTTCAGCGCGGACGCTACAGTGCTCCGTCTGCATGGAGGAGTTTGTGCTGGCAGAAGAAGTGACGCAGTTGCCCTGTGATCATCACTTTCATTCGGACTGTATCGTGCCCTGGCTGAAACTGGTAAGCTCGTTTGTTTGCGTTCCCGGTTCCCAGTAGTGGTTCTCAATAGCAGTTCTCAGTAGCGGGTAGCGGTATCGGGTAGCGGTATCGGGTAGCGGTATTGGGTGGCGGTGGCGCACGTGTTAATGTTCAGTGAGTAAAGTTGTTAGAACTTCTATGTGAAGTCTACCGAGTGTGCGCATTGTATACAGTGAAAATCTCTTGCATTATACGTAGGCGTATACATGCTTGATACGAATGAATAGTTTATTAGCCAACAGCGTTGGGTTTAATTATTAAAGAATGCAGTAGGGTCAATGTAGTTTCTATTATTATTCCTTTTGCTGGAATAAAATTGACATTTTTCTCGCATTAAACAACACTAACACTGGCAACACTCTTGTGCGAACGACCGGCACCTCATTCTGTCAGTACCTCGTTATTAATGGCCTCTGTTAAAAATGTTTCATTATGGGAGGTGTTGTCAGGATGTGTTGTCATAGTGATGACCATCACGGGCACAGGCACTTGGAACATCTCAATAAAAAAAAAGGTAAATAAACACGAAATGGATTTACTACCAAAGTCTTAATGTTTCTCTAGTCTATTTCGCCTATTACTGCTGCTAATTACCTGTAAGTGCCGGTCAAATGCTCATCTGCAACACACAAGTACACCGCACGCACGCCCTGTGCACAAACAACATGAATAAGAGAGCAGGTAGGAAAGCGTGATCGCAAAATTCGCTCGACGCTTGCTTCATTTCACACCTTCACAGCCCAAATACACCAACAACAGCTTTCATCTTGGTATCTATGTGTAGCTAAATGTTCACTTGTTTGAATTATAACTCTGTTCGTACTTATCTACTCCCGCCAGAAATATCTCGTGAAATCCTGCAGGAAATGTTCTCTCCGTGAAAATGTAAAGAGGACGTATCATCCGAAAATCCATAACGGCGCTACTCGATATTTTGACCAATCACTGTAGTCGTGTGTGACGTCATACCTGCACGCATTATGCTTGGCTTGGCGGGCCTCGAAACGGAGCTCGGAGGCAGGCAGCAGCTCATCCCGGCATGCAATGCGCCCCATTACTCGTGTATAAACAGACATCTCGTCCTCTTTACATTTTTACGGAGAGAACGTTTCCTGCAGGATTTCACGAGATATCTCTGGCGGGAGTAGGTAAGAACAAAGGACAGAGCTATAATTCGAACAAGTGAACATTTAGCTACACATAGATACCAAGATGAAAGCTGTTGTTGGTGTATTTGGGCTGTGAAGGTGTGAAATGAAACAAGCGTCGAGCGAATTTTGCGATCACGCTTTCCTGCCTGCTCTCTTACTCATGTTGTTTGTGCACAGGGCGTGCGTGCGGTGTACTTGTGTGTTGCAGATGAGCATTTGACCGGCATTTAAGGGTAATTAGCGGCAATAATAGGCGAAATAGAGTAGAGAAACATTGAGACTTTGGTAGTAAATACATTTCGTGTTTATTTACCTTTTTTTATTGAGACGTTCCAAGTGCCTGTGATCATAGGCATGCTGGCGATCAGTGTCACTGTTAAAAATAAAGTTGAAAATAAACACGGTTTCGTCGTGCGAGGTGTCGTGTCGGGATGTGGTGTCATGGTGACGAGCGTCGTGGTCGTGGTGGTGATCTGGTGTCATCCATCGTACTGCTGCTGTGTGGTTTCAGCATGGCACGTGCCCGATCTGCAGGCTGAGTCTGTCGCCGCAGGAGGACAGCAATCGGCAAGAGACAGACATGGCGGATGGCAGCTCAGCTGCATCATCTACAGGTGGGTGAAGAGGTCGCGACCGAGTGGCGCAGTTGCCCTCCTTGTGTACCACGGAGCCCTTTGAAAATCAGCCGGCGCCCACAGCAGTCAACGAATTTGACTCCGCGAACCTCCCGTAAATTGACTCGCGTGTGTGTCGTTTGTGTCCCTGTCCCCACGTGTGTCGATGAAACGTAGCATGATCGAGTTGCCTTCCTAGCATGATGTAGTTTCCATTCTTTCGAATGCGGAGTGAAGTTGACGGCCAGCTTTGGCTAGTGCGTGCCATGTATGTTGTTTGTTCCTTGCAATGTTTGTCTACCATGTGTCATATAGTCTTCCATGTGTGTTACATTGTCAGCCTCGTGTGTGTTACATTGTCTACCATGTGTGTTACCTTGTCTACCATGTGTGTTACATTGTCAGCCTCGTGTGTGTTACATTGTCTACCATGTGTGTTACCTTGTCTACCATGTGTGTTACATTGTCTACCATGTGTGTTACATTGTCTACCATGTGTGTTACATTGTCATCCTCGTGTGTTACATTGTCTACCATGTGTGTTACATTGTCTTCGGTTTTATGTGTGTCATATTGTCTACCATGTGTGTCACATTGTCTGCTATGTGTATTGTCATGTCTTCCATGTGTGTTACATTGTCTTCGGTTTCATGTGTGTTACATTGTCTGCTATGTGTGCTGTTATTGTATTCCATGTGTGTCATATTGTCTACCATGTGTGTTACATTGTCTTCCATGTGTGTTACATTGTCTTCGGTTTCATGTGTGTCATATTGTCTACCATGTGTGTTACATTGTCTGCCATGTGTGTTGTCAGTGTCTTCCATGTGTGTTACATTGTCTTCGGTTTTATGTGTGTTACATTGTCTGCTATGTGTGTTACATTGTCTTTCATGTGTGTTACAACAAAACGTATTACATGGGTTTTGATATTTTAAAAAAAATTATGCAAATTAGGTAGGTTTTGTCAATTATATAGCATATTATATAAACACGGCAGAAACAGTCTGTGGTGTCCACACTCGTCTGGTTCGTTTTGACAAGATTCTTTGAACACTATCTTTAATGCAAAATTGGGTTAATTTTTCTCTCGACCCTGCCGATAAAAGTCTATATTAGAGTAAAGTTTACCAAAACAATGTCGGACCGCAGCAATACCTATTTATTTCAAACGCCATCGCTAAGAAACATCAAAGGCGTCGTATATGACGCTATCTACCATCACAAATTGTGATTCATTTTGTTTATAAATTATTATTGCGATATAAACGATGGCAACCGTGTTGCTACGCCTAGAAAAACTCATACGAAGTAAACACTTTCCATGCAACCAATAACCTTTGACAAAAGTTGTGTTATGGGCAGGGAAACACCATTGTTCACGTGCTATATAGCAGCTACGTGGAATAAGCGTATCCTCTCAATCTTACACGTTACACATCGGGAGCTCCGCTTTAGGCAGTGCCTAAATCTGAATAATTAAAAACCGTTAAATGGCAATCATTTAGGTGTAACGGCCATCACTCGCCAACATCTCAGACTTTCACACCATCTCAATACACTATATTTTCACATACAAATGGACGCATAATTATCAAGAGTATATAATGGGCAGTTCCCATATATATCTCTTCGTTTCTATAATGTACCGTCGATGGTTGCTCAATTTAAAACTGACTTCTTTCACTTTTTGTCGCCTTTTTTGTGGTGAGCTAAAGTGTCATTGACACTTTCATTCTCTTCGCTACGTGTCCGACCGTTTACGAGTGCGTCATACTCTGCCGTCACGTTTGTCACCACATTGGCCATGTTGCAGATGACGGCTCCAACCTTGGCGTGGTGGGTGCGGATGCCGCGCTTGGCAGATGGAGCATGAATGACGGCAGCCAGCAAGACGGCAGGGACGACGAACAGCAACGTGGCCGCCTCTTCATCATCGACAGGTAACGCTTAGGTTGCAGAAGGGTCGGTAAATCTCAGGGGAATGTTAGGAAATTCTGCGAAAGTTCTTGGAATCTCAAATGGTCCGAGATTTGGGCGAATTTTTTTTTGGGGGGGGGGAATTTTTATTTTATCTCATGGAATAATATCTCGCACGTATTTGTGCAGTCACCTCTCGGTGGCAGGAGCATCAACAGACGTGTGTAATCGGTTCCAGATTTGTTTTTAGCATATTTCTATCGTTGTTTGCAGACAGTAATTATTAAATTTATCCGTTTGTTTTTCTATCGTAGGGAGCAACTCAGGGTTCATGTTGTCGTTAAGGCCGCGTCTCGGTGACCTTGACGACGAGTGTCGACTGACCTTCAAACGTCCAGATATATTTCACTGCCAGTGGGACGATAGCTGGCACAGGTATCTATAGGCGACTGCAGATATTTTGTGTTGACTACGAAGGTAGGATTGTTTTAGTATACAAGAGCCTTGCAGAGTCGCACAGTCGCGAAGCGAGGTGTGTACAGCGGGGCTCAGACACTCTCGTTACATTGTCTCTCATAAAGATATATGTGGAAGCTCATTCTAGGCAGATTACTTTACTTACGTGTCGGATTGGCTGCCCTATATAGAGCTGGATGTGGCAATCTGATATCTCACAACTTGACGGTGAGGTACCGTCACTGTTTTTTCGATGAGAGTGGCTTCTTTTTACTTGGCTTCTTTGCGTAAATGTTTAAAAAAAAAATCCACTAACTCGTCTGCTGTAGTGAACAGAAAAGACATGTTTATGTTGTAAAACAGCTTAGGCTGAAGTTTGCTTCATGGGAAAACCTAGATTGTTATTCCATCTGGTTTCTTGTAAATGATCTTATGCTGTACACGTATACGCAACGAGGTATATTAGTTTTAGAAAATTACCAAGGTCACTATGTTTCAGTTACTACTCACAAGTTCTCTTTCTACAGTGATGACGTAATACAAGATTTCCTTACATTAAAATTTAAACTGAATGGAATAAATATCGTGATAATATGTATATGTACTCATCAAATTTCATTAGATTATCTGTAAATTTACTTTGCATGGAATTCTTCCATTGAATTGCCATGTTGTGAATTCCTCTTCAGTTCCCACAATCGAGACACACGTAGTGCGTTTTATGCTGTGAAATTCGTGTTGTACCAACGCTCTAGCTACGTGCCGTACATGCTGTAGTAGTTGAAACAAGCCGTGAGTGGATCCACTGCAACGTTTACTAAACTGCACGTTTGTTAATCTCTCCGTACACTAATAGCGAGCATACAGTATAAGAGTGAACAAACACGGGGAGTATGTGTTGAGTTTCCAAACGTAACCTAAGTAATGCAGCCAGGACATGCTGAGGGTCTATGCCCTAGGGTCATCGGAGTGTACCCTGGGTACGGTTCCGAAATATCGGCACGTTACTCTGGTACTACTGAATATGCCGGACCGTACCTTCCGCCTACTCCACTAACGAGTCTAGGGAGTCGCCTACGCCTACTCCCTAACCCTAACCATATCAAATAGTTACCAGGGTACCCTCCGATAGTACCCTGGGGGGCATAGACCCTATGAGCCAGTCATTCAGTTATTTTACACAAAAATGCATTGATTATTTTCACCCGTGCTCTTACTGCTCCACTCACCCACTTACACCATTTTTGCATTATAATATTAATGGTTACCCATGTGATACAGAAATCTGTAACGGTGGTGAACGTACCAGTGAAATGCCAATGCCTTATAAGTTATATTATGTAGTATATTGGATTGCAGAGCGAGTTTCTTTTTTACTCCGTGTAAAGTTATGCGAACGCTACAGAAAGAATTATCACAAGATGTACTGGTGTGTTGTTTAGCACTAGCTGGTACAAACAAGCAAGATAGTGTGTTTATATATGGTAAATAACTATTGGCATTAGGCATGGCCATGGTGACATGACAAAAGTTACCTCAACATTAGAGCTACTTTGATATCCGACGTTTCTAGTGATTTTCTTGCAATTATTGTTAGAGATTTCTATAACCGATTTCATTCCTGAAAAGCTTATGCAACTCTTATCTGCAGAGAGTGTTGTATATGGAAAGAAAATTGTAATGTAAAGTTGCATTTAGTCTGTTGTTGAAATGAACTCATGACAGACATTTTGTCTACTATTCTGCTTATAAATATTTATTTGGAAATATGTACGTTGAGACGGTTTGTAATTTGACTCGCCTCGTTCACGATGGTACACTATGTGTGTGGTGTAGTATTCGTGACTGTTGAAAGACGGCATTATTTGAGTGAAATGTACAGCGATCAATTTGCCCTGTGGTCGTGTCTGAAGTTTTGTAACTGTCGAGTGGTGTTGGCCATTGCGTAATGTTAATACGTTTGTCATCTGTGTGTGCGTGCGTGCGTGCGCGTGCGTGCGTGCGCGTGCGTGCGCGTGCGTGCGTGCCTCTCTAAAGCCTAGCGCAGACTTGGGACTTTTGGTCGCGCGTTGTTGCGACCTAAAATCGCATGCGATTGGTCGCACGCCTCGCCGAGTGCGCATGCAAGCGACTGGCTAAATAAATAAAATGACTTTCTGGCGCAGTATTTACCCGTCATTTCCAGTCGGATCGCGACATCTTTATTTTGCATGTTTCTTAGTGCGATCGCTGTATTCCAGCAGTGTAATGTCAAACAAAACCGGCCTCTCCATCCACATATCTAGCAAAATGCTTTCTTTCTCATCACTCCAGCTTGTTGCTGTGAGCGTAGCCATATTGAAATAGCACGTGATGAGATGGTGCTCGCTGATTGGTCGGACGAGAATTTGTCATCGTTGCAAGTCGCTGTCTACCCACACACATGCGATTTCGAAGCGATTTCGGAGCGACGAGTTGCTGAAAATCAAACGTTTGATTTCTTGCGACTCGTCGCAAGCGACCAGAATCGCAGTTGCACGTTCCTGCAGACCTAGCAATTTCTCATGCGACTCCGCTGCAATTCTAGAATCGCAGCCGAGTCGCATGAAAAAGTCGCAAGTCTGCGCTAGGCTTAATCATATTATTCACACACATACACACTTATTACAGTACACTTTGCCGACAGTGCACACGTTTTTGGTTTACGATGATGATGTGATGTGTGGGTAAAGGGTTCTTCGCCAAATGAGCCGGAATTGAAAGAGTAATTGAGCTATATTGTAAATTAGATTCCTACCACACGTGTATATTCGAGTACACTGTAGAATATGTCTCATGGGTGTGTTTGGAGTCGGCTACATTTAGGTGATGACAGCATGGTCACCTTTCCACAGATGTGATAACCATATTGAGACACCACGCAGAAAGGACTCTGATGTGGGCATAACCTTGGGTGTCACTTTCCCCCGGGCATAGAGGGAGGGTGCCGCTGCGTGGCAGCACTATAGTCACTTCGTACACTTCCGTCATTCCACAGTCATACTTCCATGTTAGACAGGGCCTTATTTCCCTAACCCTGACCGTAACCCTAATCCTAACATTAGTGCTGTCACGTAGCAGCACCCTCCCTCTACGCCCGGGGGAAAGTGACACTGCGTAACCTTGGCCCGTTGTTTGATGCTGCTTCCCGCCTCCATTTTGTAGCAATCCATTTTTCGGCAGCATCGAGAATGCGCGTGTAGCATTTAAGTGAGTTATGTCGGTGAAGGATGGTGATGGATATTGTGGAATTGAAGTCGAGTAAAGCCAGGCAGAGGGTATTCTTGGATACTGTTATTCGTCACTTTCCTCGACAAAAAAAAACCCACGATCTGCTATTTACTGCAACTGCTAGTCATCGACCCGGTTATTCTTTTGTTGTAGCGAATTGTTGCAAATAGTCATTGTAGCAATTCGGCTGTTAAAGTCGCCTCGAAGTCGCTCTAGGCCGCATTGCCGATGTTTGGCACGTTTAACCCAACGTGATGTGGCGTCACAGCCACTTGGCGATGACTTTTCAATTGCCACAGCAGTCATTTGTTTTACATTTCATTTAGGGTCCTCTTGGAATTACCAATATTTCGGCACTACCAGGCGTGATTTTTTGTGCGTATTTTTGGAGCACGGTAGTAGTGCAATGCAAAAAAGATGAATATCTCATGATGTAAGTTAGTAAATTGCAAGACGCGACGATGAGAAAATGCCGCCAAATTTCGCTAAAACGGCATAGCACTTAGTAAAATCTATGTACGAAGCAAAACTACGGAATGCAATGAATAACAGTACCAAAGATTTCTATGTCAGGCATTGGCAGCATGTTGTTACTGTGAACAAAAGTGTCAGTAAGTAATGTCAACACACTCAAGTAGAATTTGTACTTGTGCATGGAATAGGCATTTAGTATGCAGAAGTTGTATCCACATCGTCTATTCCCTGATGGATATTCCTTTGGTATCAAGATTGGCCATGCACTGTGCGTGTCTGTGCATTTACGTGTGAATAGGAACTTATAATGTAATATATCATCTGTAAATCAAATCTCTGTTGACTGTGATTATAATACACTATTTATTGTGTTGTTCTATACAATCACACTGGTGCATTGGATGGCAAAAAACCATATACATTTGTGAGGCACTTTCACTATCAAAAAAAATAAACATACGAAAACAATCACATGTCTCAAAGCTAAATAAATGCACAGATTACCTTTGAGAATTTTTATAATCTGATGCTACTCTAGGCATAGAATAGCTTCAGATTGAAATTTTTTTATAGGGCACTGTTTATTGGCCTATTGCCGTTGCAGCAGTTAGAATAGCAGTAGCCACAGGCGACACAGCAGTTAAAATAGCAGCAAGAGACGTAGCAGCAACAATAGTAGAAGTAGCTGTAGAAGCAGCAGCAGCAGCAGGAATACCAGTGACACCAGTAGTAGTAGGAGGAAGAGGAGGGGGAGAAGGAGGGGAGCAGCAGCCGCTGGAATAGCAGCAGTAAGAGCAACAGCAAAGAACAGTAGCTAGTAGATGAATACTTTCACACGCAATCCTGTGATTCTAGTTATACTCTCTAAGTCTGACTCTTCGTTGTATATTATATTCTGATTTATTATTCTATCATGACAATAGTTTAGCACAGAAAATACTATAAACTATGGACTTAATTTTAATTATTTATTGAATATTACTTTATTCCTCATTTTATGCACTTGCTTATGTACACATATTATGCCAGTTTTTTGGCATTATATATAATGGAACATATAAGAGTTTACGGATTTACATATAGTGGTACATCAGACATGGATGGAAGATGGATTCCACGTAAATTTACAGACGATGGTATACATAAACATACATAACATACATAAATGGAAATTTGTCTTACTAATGATAGACACAACTAACTAGACATCTAAAGCTAATATCGAACAACTAGAGCCGCAGAGCGTCTGGGCTCATCTGAGGTCTGTTGCTAGAATGATAAACGTAACATTTAAGTCGTGCGTAGTGAGACCTTTGTTAGGCGCAGATATGCAGATACGCAGTTGCGTACACATCATTTCAGCAACCTTCTGCATTGAGCATACCTCCCAAATCCCATTGGTTGATACAAATCACGTGCCTGAAAGTCCTGTTTTATGGTGCATTGTGACCCTAACCCTAACCCTATTAAAAAACAAATTTTGTTGTTATGAAATTGTTGTAAATAAATTATGTAAATATTTATCTATAATTGGAAAGAAATAGTTAAATGGATAAAGATAGAAGAATACAGAAAACAGGTAAATAATACAAAATCTGATGGGATTGGATCCAAGGACCTTTGAGCCCTAATCCTGTGCTGTAGCCGTTAGGCTATCGAGGCATATTGGGTTTCCAGATTATGGATGTGCCATGACTGTGACATCATTGAGGCAGTTCAGTAATCCATGTTTAACCCTCCTCTTGAGTGTCGAAAGGTTATCAGACACTTACTCTTCGCACATCAGTGGAAAGCACATTTCATGGTCCTTTCAATAACGTGATAAAAATGGTAGGTCAGCACTGAAACAAAAAAGTTTTTCACTCTGTCCGTTAGCCCATGTCCTCAGAAAATGTCTGATATCTGACCTTTCCCCCACTGCCCTTTGACCTGTGACCTCCAATTTCGGCACAGTGATGGCTTTTCCTACCATGATGCTATACACCGACTATCACGAGCCCAAGTCGAGCCGTTTAGATTTGTGCCACAATTCTGCATTTCCTCCCTATACCTTAAGTTAAGGAGGGAATGTTCCCCCTTCTTTTACACCTCTTGACCTTTGACCCCCCAGCTTCGACATCCCAACTCGTTTTCGGATTACCCCCCTACGTCCCGACTTTTCAATCCGTACGTCGAGCCGTTTAGATTTGTGCCCAACTGTTGGCGGACACACGGACGCACGCTCATGCGATTCTACAAGCTGCATCTGACTATGTCAGATGAGCTAAAAATCAACATAACAATTAATGAAATAGTTTAAGCCTTAAGAACTTAATACATGGGATGTAAACGTGGAGATATAAACACGTACATCATACAAGTCAACAAAGATCCTGTAATCTGAATCCTGTATAAAACGGACAGACCAAATATCGTGCATAATATAATATCGAAACTAAAGTTCCACCATGGAGGGAATGTTATTCTTTATAGTTTCTCTCATTTACTGCAGTATTATTATTAATTATTATACTATGAGAACGTTGTGTTAGAAATAAATACTATCCATCTATCTAACAATAGAATCACCATCTTCCATATACCCTGCCGATACCACTTCTTGGGCACCCCCATGCGAACACATTAAAAAAATGTGGTACTTTATTTCCTACTTAGTACTATATGTGACAATATCACGTCAGTCTTTTTACACTGCTTGGCTAGTTACAACTATAACATACCAGCCTTCTGTAACATAACTTTACCACAGGAATATCAGAACTCTGAAATGTAACATTAACGCAAGAAACTCGGAACTATAACAAATTTTAACTCTTAACGCCAGAACGTAATACCTTTGCAAATTCACGTATGATATCGCGCAACCAGTACTCTTATATTCCAGTGGTCATGCAGCACATTCTCTTAAACACCGTACATATATAAATATATACAAATATTTTGACATTTTTACAGAACAATGTTAAGTAACTCAATCTGTTAATTTTGACTTCATGACTTAGCCATGAAATATGCAACAACACAATAAATTCCGTTGGGATTACAAAATAGTGGCGAAAATAATGCATTCACATGCTTTTACTTCTAGCTCTGTGCTTCTAGGCGTTATTGTGCCTCAGGCACACAAAACGTTGCACGTAATCTTAGAAAAACAGATGCAGACGCATGACTGGCCTACGTATAAGATTATTTCTTATCGGGAACTACCGAGTCTTTTCGAGTTTCTATATGCTATATTCGCGACATGAACTTCAGTGCAACTGCTTGTATCAAATATATTACAATATCCATAGTGGAAATTCTCCACAACCTTAACACAGAGACATTGATATGGCATGGACACATAAATGCCATTGTGTTTTATATCACTTACATTACTGACTTGCTAACCAATGACACTGTGCATGTTAACGTGCGATTAATCGTTACAGACGTTAGGACAGCTTTTGTTTAACAAGCTCCAACAAGCATCCTACGGCGCCCATATATCCCTGAAAATACAGACATAAACATGGATTAATTACATGTGAATCGTATTTTTACGTACGTGCTTATATCGTTAATAGTTCCCAAACGGTCCTACTGAATCGAACAGATCACATTCTGCCTTAAACGACCTTGTGCGGCATCCAAAAAAAAGTATCATATAACGCTATCCCAAAAATCACCCATGCGAGTGTCTCTTGCACAAAGATGTACTTAGCAAGTTAAAATGCAAGCTAAAAAGCTTGAGAAAATAGAAGCATACCTCATGTTCCAAGAAGAGAGCCTTCAGTTGGCCTTTGGACCAGTATTCCATGGCATACGCCAACAGTTTCATGGCTATTGGATTGACTCGAAGGAAGTTTCCTACAAACACCACCTTGTCAATTCCCTGTGGACATATTCATATAAAAAATCTCTTGCACTTCGGAGAAACTATGTCATATTCCACAAATCATTTTGAATCAATGCTATCACAGCAATCGGCAATAATTTACGTAAAACTGGGAGCTGCACACGTATACATACATTGCCAACATGGCATAACATATATTTCCGACTGACTCAGTATACATCGCTAATCAGAGATAAACACTATTAAGGTACATCTGTCTATAAATTATAATTAATTAACATTTCTGGTGTTTCTCTCTATTCGCGGTTATACAGTGAAATCATCTCTATAGAACGGACATGCCGCCTCATACATACACATGTTCTACATACAGGATGGATACTTCTATGCTTTCACTCTAGAGACCCCTTACATACAGGTTGGACTGTGGTGTCCTGAGTGGCGGCCATCTTACCTGGTTAAGAGCTGTCATTCGGGCTATGGAGCCAATGTTGTTGGTAATCGTCACAAGGGTTGCTCTGGCTAGATCACATTTCGTCACATCTTCTCGATGTTCGGGTGACAACATGTGGCCGAAACTATGAGGAACCAGTTAGAGTGCTCTTTACCACACACAGCTGCGCAAAGTCTGCTGTTACATGCCATGGCAAATCAAGTTTTTTTTTACAAATTTCATACTACCATATGTAAAAGGTATGATAATATGATAAACTAAGAACTAAGTGCAGGGATTTGCATGATCCACTTCTGATATCATATATAGCGATTGTTTGCGATTTTGTCACAGAAAATACAGATTCATACTTAAAAAAAGAAGTCGAACTATAACTGTTTGTTATGGAAAGCCATCCCCTTCAAATATCATTTTCAAACATTTCAAATACACAATTTTAAATCAATTTTAAATTAAATTGCCTGATATACAAATTCCTTCACATTCATTCATTTTCTAAACAACAAACCAATTTACTTGCAATTTAATTGAGAACATGTTACATAAAGTCACAAATGTTCAAATCTTGCTTCATCTCCTAACAATTAAAATTATTACCTAAGTTTTAAATTAATTTCCAGAATAACGAATCAGTTCACCAAGTTTGAAATTAATTTATTACTTTTAACAGTAATCACCAGAAATGCGAATCTATCTGTTGGTTTCAGAATTATTAGGTAACAAACGACAAATGTATAGCTTAAATTACAAATTAATCATACAGCTTTCAAAACATATATAAACGTTTACAATCAAAGAGCTCATTTAACAATCAATTTATGCAACTTCCAATCTATTCAAGACCTCTGAAATCACTTACTAACGTTTACAATTTGCGGCCTACTCTGTTGTTTCATTGATTCAAAAACAAGAGCCGCAGAGCGACTGGGCTCATCTGAGGTGTGTTGCTACGGTTATGAACGTAAAATTTCAGTCGTGCGTAGTGACACATTTGTTTAAGGCGCAGATATGCAGATACGCAGTTGCGTACACATCATTTCAGCAACCTTCTGCATTCTGCATACCTCCCAAATCCCATTGGTTGATACAAATCGCGTGCCTGAAACTCCTGTTTTATGGTGCATTGTGACCCTAACCCTAACCCTATTAAAAATAAATAAAAATTTAATTTTTAATTTAAAAATTATTTGTTGTTATTAAATTGTTGTAAATAAATCATGTAAATATTTGCGTTAATTGGCAAAATTAGTTAAATGGATAAAGATAGAAAAATACAGAAAACAGGTAAATAATAAAAAATCTGATGGGATTCGATCCAAGGACCTTTGAGCCGTAATCCTGTGCTGTACCCGTTGGGCTATCCAGACATATTGGCTTTCTAGATTATGTATGTGCCATGAATATGAGAACACTGTGACATCATTGTTCGAGGCGTCCATCTGTGTGAGGCAGTTCAGGAATCCATGTTTAACCCTCCTCTTGAGGGTCAAAAGGTTATCAGACACTTACTCTTTGCACGTCAGTGGAAAGCACATTTCATGGTGCTTTCAATAAAGTGATAAAAATGGTAGGTCAGCGCTGAAACAAAAAAAGTTTTTCACTGTCCGTTAGGCCATGTCCTCAGAAAATGTCTGATATCTGACCTTTACCCAACTGCCCTTTGACCTGTGACCTCCAATTTCGCACTGGTGATGGGTTTCCTGCCCATCACACTATACACCGAATATTAAGAGCATAGGTCGAGCCGTTTAGATTTGTGCCGCAATTCTGCATTTCCTCCCTATACCTTAAGTTAAGGAGGGAATTTAATTCCTGAATTAACTCTGCCAGCTATTCCGATAATGAGAAGCAATGGTACCTGCTGGCCACAATGTGTCCTGGAAGGTTGAACCGCTCATAGTCACCCCCATAGATGTCCTTCACCAGTTTGTCAACCTAGCAGCAACAGCATCAACGTTTATCCAAACATTCACGTTTCAGGTGTCAGTAAAGAATTACCCATAGAGGAGAAGGCCCTAAACAGCCTGTTAGACAACAATTGTGACTAATGACTATAGTAGTGTGTAGCGACCTTAATTAAGATGCAGCACCATTTTATTATCGCAGATTTTATGCATAAAAAATTAATCGGCAACCGAGAGTGCGTGCATAATCGAATAAGCTTCAGGGTAGTTTTTCTTCATATATGTAGAGAAACACGCTTACATGGAGAATATACTCATCATGATTACTTTGCGCTCATTCCGCAGCCATTCAGCATGGCCACAAAATAGACATGCATCCTGTACATTTTACGTTATAATTTAAGTGACACTACTATTGATTGATTCTGCGATCTATTTAGCACTATTTTTCCTCACCTTTGTGCTATCACCGTGCGTTGCCATTTCAATGGCTTCTTCGTAAGTCTGGCAACCAGTTAGCAGACAGCAAAGTCCTAGGAATGTTCCACCTCCCAAACTGAAAATTGTGAAAAATTTAATGTACAGAATATAAACAGTAAACATATACGACATCAAATCTAAATTAAGCATCTGCTTTAACTAACCTATATCCACCAGGGTAATAGGTATATACATCATTGGTAGGCAGCATTAGGTATATCATAGTTACAATAAGATCTTGAGAAAAAAACGGGGTTGGGCCACAATAAAAAAAATTTTTGTTTGCCCTCAATCACCTGACCCAGGATGAAAAGTTTGGGTAGGTAGGTAGGCTTTTTTTTGAGGGGGGTCGTTTTAAATATTCAGCATGGTACGTGTCTACATGCTTGGGTGAGCTTGTGTCGAGATAGCTTTTATGTTGAATGTTTGTTTTGCTTGGTACATATAATCAGGAGTTAATAAAGACAAAGGAGTTTGACACGTATTTGGTACTGATTTCACTACATCAGGAGCTAATAATGACAAAGGAGTTTGACACGTATTTGGTACTGATTTCACTACATTTTGTCGTACGAGTTCGATGTGAATAAAAATACAAATGTATACAAACACGAGCTTCTTTTGTTCACTGGTTCTTATTCTATCTTCCGATAGTATTACAAACCACGTAGCTTCCTTCGTTTTGACATAAATCGTACTTTTGCACAACATGGTTTTCACGTTATTTACCGTCGTGTGGCGAGGCCAAGCGGTAAATTCGCATACACAGCAACTGGAAGAAGGCGCGACAGTACGTTATCTCCCGAAGAAGTTTTTGTTTGGCTAACAAAGCCGAGTGAAGATGACGTTAACTCTCACCTTTATCACATACAGATGGTCATGATAAGTAAGGTAGGTTGCACATGCGTTTGCCTGCAATTGCATAGTAACGGTTGCTATGCAAAACACGTGCGAAAAGCTACAATCAGCTGGAGCATCAATTTACTCGCTAAGATTCATACACATCATTCCTCCATGGGTGAAGTAGTTCAGATATTTTACCAGCACAGCGTTTATTTAAAAAAACTGCGGGATTCAACCATAAAAACAAGGTATTCTAACTATAGTTTTAATTTTTAAACCCAGCATGGGTGCAATGTAACTTAATTTCTAAGCGCATTTTCTGCACTCGGCTAGACTACGGCCTAAAAGCCCTGCCGCGCCTCCTTCCAGTTGCTGTGTATGCGAATTTACCGCTTGTCCTCGCCACACGACGGTAAATAACGTGAAAACCATGTTGTGCAAAAGTACGATTTATGTCAAAACGAAGGAAGCTACGTGGTTTGTAATACTACCGGAAGATAGAATAAGGACCAGTGAACAAAAGAAGCTCGTGTTTGTATACATTTGTATTTTTATTCACATCGAACTCGTACGACAAAATGTTGTGAAATCAGTACCAAATACGTGTCAAACTCCTTTGTCTTTATTAACTCCTGATATAATGTATTGCCTACAGATTTATATAATGTACAGTGATACAATTTGTAAAAAAAAAAAAGAAGGGAAATATCAATAATTTTTTTTGCGTTGGCCACTTTTTGGCGGGTCAGTCGAGTCAGGGCAAACAAACAATATTTTTATTATGGCATTGGGAACAAAATAATGCAAAGCCAACATTTTAGTTCGCACGTACGAAGAATCAAGTATAAACTGGTCTAGTCTGACCGGCATAACGAGAATATCAGAAGGGGAACTTCGTTTATCTCACGTAAGGAAGAATATATCAATTCACCGGATGCAGTCATGCATTGAGAGAACCAATTCGCTACACAACTTTCGCATTATGGCTGGTGGCCTACACGGCTTTGATAAAGGTTACTGTGAAGCTTACCGCGAACGTTTACAGACAAAGTACAGCCTCATACCACTAGCACTTTAGTTAGTCAACTGGCGTTTAACAGAAGCATATAGATACTAGGGGGGATTGTGGAAGGTCGTGAAGGTCGTGAAACTTTCGGATTCGTGAAGTACAAATCAAAATATATCTATAGGTGACACAATTTGCATAAAAAATCGAGAGAAAAAAACAAATCTCACAGTGTGTCCATCATTCTATCAATTATGCAGGAATTGTCTTCAATCAGTTTTAGCTAGATTGTTTGAAAAAATATCTTTTAAGCAAATCAGACGCATGACCCACAAGTTTAAACTCCGGATTTACTCTTCACTTTAACTACTTTTATCTGAAATAATAACAATTTTCTTCCTGAGAGACCAGGGAAAGAAATACAGTCACCAATGGAGATGGCATTTTACTGTCATCAATTTGTTAAAGTAGAGATGAAGATGCAAGAGACATGCCTGGCAGCTGTCATGACAGGTTTTATACAACAGTGAGCATACCTGTGCCGTGTTTCATACAAAATTAACCATGTCCGTGATACATCGCATAATACAGTACTTAGGTTTCTTGTGAAAGGTTGCAGGGTGCGAAATTAACGTGAGTTCGGAGTCAAATACTCCCTGATTTACTGTCGGACTCCCTGATTTGACATATGCAGGAGCCTGTGTGACTCCCTGAAAATTCTGCTATACTAACTAGTTCGTTCCAGAGCACGGCCTCGCGGAATTACCGTATTTTTTCAGCAAATGTTAAATTTTGAACTTCAGACTCCCTCATTTTGCTGCTGACTCCCTCTTTTTGAGGGCAGGGAGTCCGTTGGACTCCCTTATTCAAAAGTTCATTTCTACCCCTGAGGTTGCATGCAACAGTAGGTATCCCTATAAAAAGCTGCATACAACAGTTCAGGAGTCTATCAATAATCAATAGTATCAATAGGAGTCTATTGATAGACTCCTAAACAGTTGGCATTGGTATAAACAGTTACATACAACCCTGTGAGAGGTTGCATACAACAGGAGGAATACCTCGTTCCGCTCACACGCTGGTATTCGTCCTTTGAGCGCACGGCCAGTATGCTCACACCTGACCCAATGTTGACGACCAGGTAAGGATACGGATCAGAGAAATCAAACGGAAGCTGAGGAATTCAAACGAACGTTACCATTAGCTGCGACGACGGCTTGCCGCCAAACCCCCGCGAGGCGACGAAATAAACGATTAATAACGCACTGCACGCGGATATGCGGACGCCGTGCACGCGAAACGTGTCACGTACGCAAACTCCGTTTACCTTAATTAGAGCTATCTTGGTAAAATTTTACTCAACCAACCGTGTTGATCTAAACGTACTGCTGACATTTCGCCCCCTATCAGGAGGCTTTCTCAAAGCTGACTGAAGTTGTCAGATTTGACCACCAGATGGTGTAGTGGTCAACAGCTTGGTCCACCAGTAAAAATTAACCCAGATAGCTCTATTATCTACCAATCGAATGAACTTATTTAATGAGTTCCGTGTACCTTTTTGCAATGCTCGCGCGTGAAACGTAAATCGACGCAAAGTGAAGAAATAAACGATTAATAACGTGCTGCACGCTAACACGAATACACAAACAACGCCGTGCACGCGAAACGTGTCATGTACGCAAACTCCGTTTACCTTTTTGCACTGTTCTGAGTCGCGTATGTCCGGGTGAGACCAGTAATAGCACTCGGATAGGTACAGAGAGTCGATGAAGTGAATGCCCTGTATCAGGCTGTTCAGCTCGTCCAGCTTCTGCAGAGTCAGATTCACCTCCTGTGCGCAAACCAGATCGAAATTTGATTTTACTCGGTTCCGGAAAATTTCTCTGACGGAAAAAAACGAAATACGACGCTTTCCCCTACGTGTGCGCGGTTCCAGAAAATTTCTATGACAGAAAAAACTGATAACAAGTCTCGCCCCTTGCCCTCCCAACATCCTATTCGGTTTTTTCACCTCTGTGGTCCTAGATTTCTGAGTAAATCCAAGGGAAACACCTGCCTTGACCACTGAAATATTGAAATTCGACCCCCGAAGAGTCATCAAATTTCTGATTAAACTGAAGGCAACATTTGCCTCTTCCCCCTTCCCAAAAAATATATCTGTGCCATAAAATTTCTGATTTAACCGACAGAAACACTTGCCCTTAAGCAAAAACCAAAACTCGACACCAGTGGTCCCAAAACACCAGCCTTCCTCCCTACCCCCAAATAGCCTTCCTCCCTACCCCCAACACAAGATCAAATTTATCCCCAAACAAAAACTATGCGGAGAAGAATAAATCACAAATAAATTATAAAAAAAATAAATGAAATAATATAATATAAAAACATAATACATAAATATATACATAATATATTTATATATAAATACATAAATATTATATACTATATCAAAAAATATATGAAAAATAATTAAAAATTTCGACCCCCCACACAGACCACTACCACCGCCGCCGCTACGAGCACGTCCGCGTACCGTCTTGAAGTCGTGCTCGAACTTGTAGGCGCCACCGCCTGTCGCGCAGATCGTGTCGGCGAGCGTCGCCAGCTTCTTCTCCTTCGTCAGCTCGATGAATGCGCGCATGGAGCTTGTCGGGAAGCGGATGAAGTGCAGCGTGCCCGTGCGGCCGCCGAGACGCACGCCCTCCATCTGCAGGTGCACGTCACGGATGCCGGCCGAGCCGTACGCCACGTTACTGCAACACACACACACATGCGCGCGTTATCTCATACATGTATATATATATATATATATATATATATATATATATATATATATATATATATACATATTTCTACTAGATATCTCTCTGACTACGTCAGATGAGCTAAAAAATGGACACCTTGTTCTATTTGTCTAAAATGTTTTAGATCTACATGGGTGTCCGGCATGTTTTTTCTTCTAATTAATTTATACATACAGACTACAGTGTGGCCCCGTTATAACGCGATCCATAAAATGTCATCGCGATAAAAGCGGGGTCGCGCTAAATCGGGGTTTAAGAAAATCAGCGTATAAACTGACCTCCCACAGCAATAAGTCATGTAAACTCAATCATTTAGTTGCGCCCAAAAAGCTTTTCAGTTCCAGAAAGAGCAAAGAAAGATCCAATGTCTCATCGCGTTATATCCGAATTCGCGTTAAATCGGGGTTTCACTGTATGTACAGTATATATATATATTACTGTAATGTCTGTGAGTGTGCTTGTGTCACTGTCTGCACGCCTCTGCCTGTCAACTAACCCACCTATTTACCTGTCAGTGTGTCTGCCTCCCTCTCTGTCTTCTCTCTCCCGTCTCCTCTCTCTCTCTCTCTCTCTTGCTCTCTCGCGCTCTGTCTCTCTCTCTTTCTCCCTCCCTCTCTCTCGAGGCTCTCTCCTCTCCCTCTCTTCTCTCGGTCGTCTCTCTCTCTCTTCTCTCTCTCGTTCTCTCTCTCTCTTGTCTCGTACTCTCCTTGCCTCTCTCTTTCCCTTCACCGCTCTCTCTCGTCCCTCTTCTCTCTCGCTCGCATCAAACCACTCACTCTCCCCTCGGTTGTCTCTCCTCTTTTCCTTTGTCTCTGTCAGTTGTCTTTCTCTTCTTTGCTCCTCTCTCTCTCTCTCTCTCGTACTCTCTTCTCTCTCTCTTTCTCTCTCTGTCCGTCTCTCTCTCTCCTTATCTCTCTCACTCTTTCGCGCGCTCTCTCATCTTTCTCTCTCACTCTTTCGCGCGGCTCATCTCTCTTGCTCTCTGTCATCCTGTCATCTGTCTCTGTCTCTGTCTCATGTCTTCTGTCTCTCTCTCCTCTCTCTCTCCTGCCGGCTCTTCCTCGTCTCTCACCTCTCTCTCTCTCTCCTCATCTCTCTCTCTCTTCTCCTCTCTCTTTTCTCTCTCCGGCTGGTCTCCTCTTCTTCACGGCTCTCTCTCTTCCCTCTCTCCTTTCGTCGCTCGCTCTCACACTCACTCTACCCTCGCTTGTCTCTCTCTTTCGTTTGTCTTTGTCCACTCCTTCTCTCTCATTTCTCTGCTCTCTCTTCTCTTCTCTCTCTCTCTCTCTCTCTCTCTCTCCTCTCTCTTTCTCTCTCTCTCTCTCTCGGTTCTCTCCTCTTTCTCTCTCACTCATTTCGCGCGCTCTCTCTCTTTCTCTCTCACTCTTTCTGCCGGCTGGCTTTCTCTCTCTTGCTCTCTGCTCTCTGTCTCTGTCTTGGTCTCTCTCTCCTCTCTCTCTCTCTCTCTCTCTCTCTCTCTCTCGCTCTCTCTCTCTCACTCTCTCTCTCTCTCTCACTCTCTCTCTCTCTCTCTGATTAACACGCCGCACGTGCAAAGCATGTTTCGTTGGGCGGCTAGTAAGCGACTCACCCGGTCAGGTATCGTCGAATGGTCCTCAACGTCTCCACCTCCTGCTGTTCCTCGTCCTCGGTGACATCAGTTGGCTCAAAGTACACTAGCTTGGCCAGCGTGCCTCCCACGTCCATGCCAAACCATGGCATGTCTGGTGTCCGACAACAGCAAGCAAACGCATGGGAATGAGAGCAACTTAAAAAGCCACAACCCCACCAACAAATTTATCCGCTCGTGCATTCTGTGCGCAGCGACCGAGAATTATTTTATAAAGGCGCAATTTAGAAGACTACCTTATCAACAAATGTATCCACTTGTGCATTCTGTAGGTACACTTACGTTTACTTATGTGTGTGTGTATGCATACACTTATGTACAGTAGGTAGTTAACCTAGTACTAGCCTGTCTGCGAGTGAACTGGTTTTATGAGACTGGCAGATCAAGTAACATTTGAAAAATATCGTACACAGGAAAGAACCATGCATGGCGATGATATCTGGGGTCCATTGTCAGAGACCATGGATTGGTTGGGGTCCATAGACTTAACATTTTTACTCATAGACCATTGACAAAAACATGGTAGAGTTTCTCATACACAATGTATAGAGGTACAGTCTACGAGAAAAAATTTACTGTTAATACTAATCATTTCTGAATTATCAGCTATTATCATTTCTGAAAATGGGCCACTGGAATCACTGTTTTTAGCATGGTTGAGTTTTACTGAAAGCCTGATAAAAATTCGCACAGCCACAGGTCACCTTACTTAGACCTCATATACATATACTGCACCCTAAGCATACTACTGTTATATATATATATATATATATTCTATGCTATATTTCATCACTACATAAAGGAAAGTTATAGTAATGGAAAGGCTAACGTTCATGAATTCTATTTAATTAAATTAACAATCAAATAATAGCTGGTTTACTTAACAATCAAGATAAACTGTGGTGTGATAATGACATACATATATACACTTATAATGCTACTGCTCACTCGCTTAGTTTTAAATGCTATAACCATGCACAAGTATGGCTGTTCGTTTGCTTGTGCTTACCATCACATAAACTGTGCAGTGATTTTCCAATGAGATTAAAATATCCATACTGGAATTATGTATGTCATCCTCTGCTATATATAAACCAATTTATGCTGTTAACCAAACGGTTAAAACTCGTACCTTTCCACATATGTTCGCAAATGGTTACTGTAATGTTCACAACCAGGAAACGGCTTTTATGTTCCCAAAATGACTGAACGACACCTTCCGTTTACTTCTGCATTGGCTACAAGTAATACTCTATATGACCAACGGATAAGAAAGTGATAAGGGTCCAACTATCCCTAGATGCTTCTCTGTATTTGCTTAATGATTACCTAAGACAGGAATCATACATTATATCGCATGGCAATGCCAGCACGAGTGAATGGTAGCATGTAATTTTTCTATTGGATCAAATACTATAAGGAAGACACGAACCGTACACTATGATAATGATATGATGAAGAGAAGTTATGTGCACACGTGCACGCATACACACAGTTAATCAGGCTAACATCCGCTCACGCGTCTTTCCCGTGCAATCTGACCTTATCAGCAGACAAACTGCCATGCTTGCTTATATATGTCTGTAGCTGAACAGCTATCCACTCATGCACTCAGTAACTGCTTGCTATAGCAGGTAAGTGTGGTTTGTTTGAGGTCACATCGTCTCTTATAGTTTCAAGCAAGTGCAATAAGATCAAAACTGAAGGGCACGGTGCATTCAAAGGTTGCTAAAAGTTTAACATTCAGCCAGTCATTATCACATCGTTGACTTCGATCACATCCTAGCTTGTCAAGAGGGTATCATTTATTTAGAGAGCACAACGGTAAAATTTTAAAACCATGCATGGTAATTTCAGTCAATTCATGTAATTTTATCATTTCAATTGAACTTTTAGACTTATTTAGTTTGACTAGTTTAATATACCTAACCTTACTAATGATTAGCATTACTAACTTATGTGAATAAGAGCAACCAATTTTATCATGTGTTATGTTCCCAATGTTCTTTGTTCTGTTTCCAAGCTAAGCTAATAGGCCTACCCTTGACAAATTTCTGAATGACATTGACAGGCAGGTGTACGTCACAATAACCATATTTAACATAAGTTGTAAGGTGGACCCAGTTGCATTATTATCCCTTTGACCTGCTGATGTCATTATGATTCCCACCTGCATGCCGAACATTGATATAGCAAGTAAAATCAGGTGGATTTCCATAAAATGTTAACAGAAGACGAGGAAAATGAATCGAGTGCTAAACCGCTATGCCACAAATTACCTTCGACTCAGATGAGGCAACATGCAAGGTTTAATAACCAAATTTCACTAAAACTATTGCAAAATGTTTTCTAAAATTATTAAACGACTGTAACTACTACACAGCTTTCGTGTTTTGCCATTCCGTCTTCAAAATGACTGATACGCCCTCGGTGGCACGCGTACTGTCGTCTAGCAAACACTTACGAGGTAGCACACATTCTCCCTTGCATCCAGCCACTGCGAGACCATTGCAGTGGCTCTGGGAATCATCGCATTGTGCCATCACACGTGAAGGTGCTGCGATAGCATGAATATTACCCTAAACGCGATCGCGCAAGCATACTCCTTTTTGGACAACTGCAAAAAACAACAAAAATCGTTTGGAATATATTAATGTGGCAGTGTGCACCTGTCACGTAAGACTCACTTGCAGGAATCTTAATATAATAATAGTAATAATAATAACAATAATGATGACAATATAACAATCATAATATAATAATGCAATTTATATAAGCTTAAGTAATCGATTTCGTGAAATTATACATTCAGTCAGCAGTAGTATATACGACAAAGCCTGATCACCAGTATTGCCTCATATTTAAAGTGTGCTGGTCGAACCTCTGTCACTACCTCTAATTCTAGCTTTCTCTCCTAGTATTTGTCTTCGTTTATCTTATTCTTCCCTTTTCTATTAGTACTGGCCACTAACTCCATCCATCACTCTCCTACCATTCCCCTCTTCCATCCAGTTCTTTTCTTCTCTAATACCACATTTAGATGTGGATTTATAATCGTAGATCTGCACCACGTAGCATGCTATCTTACTCTAGGTCGAGTGCCTGGCGCTATATATTTTGTGATCTGCTTCCCTGCAAAGGATTATCGAGCTCTAATGGATGTTTACCTGACACTCCATTTAGTTTTTACAGATTATTACCATATCGGGGGAAAAGGTACCCAACTCCATAGACAAAAACTTTTATTACATAATGCACATTATTATATGCCACTCTGGGGAGGATTACTCGACTCTAAGAGCAGAGAGCTTCACCCCAGCAGTTTTATCGAACGTTCGGAGGGGGAAGTACTGGCACTATAGTGAAGTGCTCAATCTTAGTTTGGGACCCCTGCCCTCATTTTCGCAAATGTGCTAAACTAAACCAGGGTGCTAACTAGGATTGTGTCAAAGCCCTACATATCACTGTTCACAGGAAGGCAACACTGTTCTCTATGGGTATGTAACTAATTACGCGGAGACTTGCATTCCTCTAGTTGTGACTACGATTTTAATCGCCACGTGTGCGGGACCCGGCGTCAACAATTCAACTTAAATTTGACACTTTTCAATTTCACATTTCAACAAGCTCATCCTCCTGCTTCTTTTCTCACACCAAAGGCATTGCATGCCATATCTGATCATGTGCTTCAAATCATGCATTTGATTAGTTAATCCTAAAACTGTTGCATGCATCCGTCGCCAGTGCAGCGCACACGTGGCGATTGTTCAGCGACTCGGCAACAAATATCAAACATGTTTGATATTCCAGCGATAAGTTTCTGGCATCAAAATTGCCATCGCCATGCAGCACACACGTGACGATCTCTCGGCGATTGTGTCGCCGACAACAAAATCGCCAGTACTACTACTAGCGATAAAAATCGCCACGTGTGCGCCCAGCTTAAATAAACAATAATGATTAATGGTATTTGTGCTATGAGTCTGACAATGTGCTGGAAAATATCCAGGTCCTGCTCCAGATTATCTTTATTAATATTACTTTTATCTTATGCAGGGCGCTACATGATTATGATACATCATGAGCCCGATGGAAACATTCAATGAGTCATTATAATTCCTATACATATCTCGATAGTAACAATCTCTCACTATCATCTAACTAACGTTATATAGTTAGGAACAGGACCTTGGTCTTCATCTATTTCAAATATTTAGCAGTTTCGACGAGTTACATTATGGCTGTTGCTCCTGCAACGGTACCGTCGCCGATTTTTTTTCTCTTAAAGTCACGGTAGTGATGCCAGCGCCATCTATCGGCGAATAATAACTACCGTTGCTTTTGGTACGATATTATATATATACGATAACCCTAACCCTAACCCTAACCCTAACCCTAACCCTAACCCTAACCCTAACCC